GCTTGCTCCGTTCGTGTTTTTGGGAAGTAACATTATGTATGGTTGGCAAAATAATAGCTCTCTCGGATGTCGCTGTAATAGGCTTTTGAAGTTAACATACATTTCGCGGTAAAAGTTTTCTACGGTGACGTAAAACCACGGGTGGTTTCGGTGATTCGAGAATTTACGAAGTTCGAGAATTTAAAACTTGAAACAAGTTTATATGATAATGAACTTGGCGCCTACGGTGAGACGTGCCTCAACTTCGAACTTTCATTTGAATAACGTCGTTTGATTTACACCACAAGCGATCTAGTTTTGGTAACAACGTAATGTCAGTTAGCGTAGAACGATGCATTGATTTTTTATCATTGTGTGAAACATAGCTACTAGAAATATTTCCAAAGAGATTACTTTTTATTAACTATTGAAGCTTTCAGTATAAGCAAACTATTAGGTCATTCGTGTTGAGTGTCTAATTAAAAATAACTTCTTTTTCTACTACCTAATTATACACCGATCTAACGTGCGCATAGTGTCATTTTACTACGAATTAACTAATCGAGGTGACAGTTGCTAGTCAAAAATTTAATATGTGGGTCATAATAAATATCATAAATATCAAACAGACTAGAGAAGGAAATTAAATTTATTAAATATGGTGCAAAACATCCTTGATCGCATGGAAGAAAGAAAGAAGATGGAACGGAGAAACCGACCGCAACTAACCAACGAACATACAGATGTAGATAGCACATTCTGATTTAAGTACAGAGTTTTGGATTATGGAAAAATTGGAACAGATACCACAGATGAAACATCGCACATATTGCTGAAGAATTCAGGATTTTCCAGCAGCGGACAACAAATATAAACTCGGCACTTTTCACTATAAAATAGTGGGTTATAACATAGCACAACAAACCAAGCTTATTTTATTTAATTCGAAATTGCACAGTTAACAAGCAAACGGTGGAATTTGAACAATTTGCACTTTATGAGTGATAGGAATTAATAGAATTTTTATTTCAATATGGGTTAAAACTCGTTAGAAATTAAATATTATTTAGTAAACTAAAAGAACATTTATCAAAAGTTTCAAATCAAATCTGGATCAATGCCCTCACAGTGGCGCATAGACTTTGCTAATTAAATTTACTTAATTATTATTTCTAACTCGGTTATTGTGTTCTCTACTTTGCTAAAAATAAATTAGGATTGTATTTATCAACAGAGTATACAGTAAACAAGAGAAAGATGCGCAAAAACTGTAGTTCTAGTAGCGGTACTCGATTTTTTTAATTGCAACAAAAATAAACACGATCATCTATCCCACATCAAACGAAACTTCCCTTTGGCTATAATTAAAACGTATTTAACCGACATGTCAACCACTGTCGGCAAACTTGCCTGCAGGTAAAAGATGGATATTAAAACCGTGAGCTCGCTACCGTAATTTAAACCCATTTATCTTTTTCTCCATTATCCTTTGCCTTTACTCAATACGAGCAGTAACAGTTTTAAACTTTGAAGGCTTGTCTATGGAACTTCACCGTTAAACTTCTCTTCGATTTTTGATAACGGCCCCCCTTTTACGTGATTTCAAAACTTTCATCCTACATGAGGAAAGCCGTAAATTTAAGCAACATACTAAAGTATGAAGAAAATAATCAAAACTTAACACTGTTGCATTGTCTGACTGACGAACTGGTCCATTGTTTCATCTGTCATGCTGCACTATCGATCTCTGTTACTACATTCTTGCTTAATTTCAAATTTGCCCCAAATAGCGCAATAGTACTTTTAGATCACCAATAATTATACAGCATTTTAAGGTGGTAAATATCAAATCACGAAAAATGTCGTATTAGTCGTATTTAAAATTTGCTTTAGCATATTAGAATGTCTCTTAAATCCAAAATGGTTTCTTTTGTTTTATTATTATCATTTGTTTTTAAACGGGAAACGTATGAAAAAACAACTTCGAAAAATTAAACCTCCGAATAAATTTATTTGAAACCGTTTTAATGGAAATTCCTTTGCGTCCCCCTATCTGTTTTAATAAATCCGGGCACGTCGACAATTATGCTTTATCCTAAAACTTCGAATCCCCTGGAAACGGCAATCTCCCGTAACTTGAACCAAATATAAATAAACTGGCAAAATTAAAGAGATACGATCAGATTTACCAATGCGTTCGTATATACAGGTCCTCGCGAATGGCATTTTGGGGCGCCTTTTGCGGGAAAATATATTGGTGTTTGACGCGGGTAAGTAACGAGGTTTCGTGTGATATTTGGGGACCCGCTTAATCGAACACTTCCTCACGCCAACCAGACGGGAACCAGTTACCCAACTGTTAATAATGTCAGCCACTGATTTATTCACCTAAGACTTTGTGGAAACGAGACGGTGAATACTAAAATATTAAGTGAGATATCGGTAGGCAAATTAATTAGACTTTAAGAGCCGCCCTATGTTGGGTAGTTCCGTCAAATTCCTGGATATTCAAATTAACAGCGGTCCTGCCATCCACCACTTCAAGTTTCCCATGCACAGCATCTAGCTATTTATCTGAAAAATTATTGATATGTAACAGTTAATATGAGATGCATGTTTTACCTCTTCTGGTCACCTTTTAGAATGAAATGCCTACGGTTTAAGTAAACTTTTAATTTTTCAATTTTTTGGATTCGCCAATCATTCTGTTGGTTTCTTCATAACTGAACAGAAACTGGTTTGTATTCTGCTCTGTACCTGTGTGTGATCATGATCAGTGTTTTGGTTGACTGATTTCCGTATTGGGTAAAGGTAAAGACCTGAGTCGCGGTAAAGATTGTTTGGTTGTTTAGGATTTCTATTTGCATTTGGATTCTCGTATTTTTCTTTGGCCGAATAAGATTGGATCTCCGGTTTAATAATTATGTGGCAAACTTATCAACAGATGCCGAACATTATCATGAAACCGAATATTAAATTTTATTCGGCCAAAAAAAAAATTCTTAAATGGAATCAATTTTTTTACCAAAGAAAATCCGATAATTCATAGAAATCTCTAAACAACCGACCAATCTGAAGCAGGGACAAGATGACTGGCGAAACGTCAGCAAGTTCGATTCGTCCGCAACCGACGCGAGAGGAATCCACAAGGTGTTGTAAATGAATAAACTTTGTTTTGCATTATTAGCTAACTGCATGTTTTACTTTTGTCTTTATTAGAGCCATCAATCGTAATGAGGTCATGCAGACCAAACAAATATAATAGTTTGTAAATCTGTTTAGGAATACCCTATTCGAATCAACATTTTTGCGTCTCAGCTTCGGGTGGGAGTCAGCATCCGGTTTGACTCGACTTGAATTTTTCTTGATTTTTGCATTAACTTAAGTGTCAATCTTGCCAAGACTATGTTGTGTAGGTATCATAAAGTCAAAAAACTAGTCTTGTTAACAAAAAAGGATTCTTCAATAGCTTTGAAGAAAAATAAACAAACATACAAGTAAACTTTGATATTCCGTATTTATTTCTAAATGATTTGGGAGTTCTAGAGACTGTCTATGAAAAAAAATCAGATTTAAGAGGGTGACATAAGACTACCCCCAGGAACCGGCACTCAACATAAAGTTATGAATAATTAATTATCATTTACAAATAAATATTGAAAACAATTCATCTCCACACTTCTTTGATAACAGATTATGTTTTCCGATGTAGAATATTTGTGTAGTTTGTTCCAGCAAAACCGTATTTCTACTAGTTGGCATAACACTGCAGTTGCCAACAGCGTATTATGTTGAATCAAAAGTAAGCAATGCGCTATGCTAGCGTTTTCCTTCATGGAGCTCGATTTGTTTGGGTTAGTAGGGTCAAGCTCGGATTGGAATTGACAAAAAATAAAGAAAGAAAAATGACGGTTCATATAACAAAGTTTGTATGTTGCAAACTACTTTGATGGGTTGTGGTATAGTTGTATAAATGAATCCGAAAATACTTGTTTCGCAAAACAAGTTATGATAATGACTCAGCTCTGCATAAATTTTCATCATTACCTTTATTCACATCGGAGGAAACATCATTTTGGCATATCACAATGCCTCATCGACACATATTAATCGCAACATATCAAAAAATAGTCACAGAAAAAATACAAATAGAAATATAAAACACCAGGCCTGTTAGCAACTTTCAGTTTGCATATTGGCTGCAACCTTAATACAAGAAACTTAACTGTATAAATAGTGTAGTTCATTCAGAATATAGTTTCCAAAAACAATAAATATGTAATGGAATGACAAGATATTCTGCCTCAAAATATGACAGCAGTATGCCTTCCGACAATCACCAAATAGTTCCTTCCTTTAAGTGCAATATAAAAAGACTCCCAAAATTAGATTAGATAAATACTTAAATTCGCACCTAGAATCGATAACCAGTCTTTTGAAGATGAAGTATGTACGATGCGACGCGTGGGACAAAAAAACGTCAACACCCGTTTACCATAATTACATGTTTGTGTAAACTTAAAAATAGTATATTATGCAACAAGTACCGTAAACGGCACTTGACTCACGAGTTTGACACGAGCGGAGCGAGTGTTTAATATACGAGTGACTTAAAAAGTTTACCGAACGTGTTGCATACTATACTTTTTCTATGACCGTTAGTTTTTGGGTAAATTTCCACAAAACAACACTGACATGGCCGTCAGAATTGACAAACGTCAAAATTAGCGTGGGAAACATCGTGACGTAATAAAGTGACGCTTCCCGCACGCTAGATCGGTGTGTTATTGTATTTTACCGACGGGAGTAGAAAAAGTATATTTTATAATAGAAAAAAAGGAAACGTATCGAATAGAGAATCTAAATATCTTACCACATTATTCCTCACATCTTTGCGCTGTAATTTTTGATTTCAAGTTAACAGAGTGGGTTTGAATGTTTTTACGCTTCCACTGTACTTCTTTCACTTTCATAATACTCCGTAACTCATGGGTATTAAAGCCGATTTTTTTTTGTTTCAGAGCGGAGTCAATTTTTATCTTCATCTCGGAAGTTTCTTGGGTTGCAACACTATTTCTTCAGCTTTCTGTAAGGTAAGTTTTATTGAAAGAGTTTTTGTTTATTTAACATTTTTTCAAAAGCGTAAGGCGTTATTCCCGATAGCAAAGTAAAGATAAACACATATTTACTCAAAATCCGGCGAAAGCTTTACTCAGAGTTTAGTAAAGACCAATTAATAAACTTTCCTCCCTCTGTTTTAGTAGCCAATATGTCTTTTCGAGGAGATAACTTCGATGTGTGGGTTTGGATAATTTACGCAGAGGCAACGTCGTCATTTGTTTTGGCATAAAAAAATGTCTAGCCGTTGTCACCTTGCCAGAGAAATTCAACAGGAACGTTTGTATTTTAAAAAGTTTGGCGTTTAAACTACTTTCAAAGTTTGAATAAGACTTGATTAAAACTGTGACTCGCAGCGTTCCCAGACACAAATCGAATTAAACTCCATTTGCTTGGAAGCCCCAAGGGGAGGCCGACTTAATACCTTGTTGATTTCATAGGCAATCACCTGCCTGAATTGAGTTTAGTTTTTAGGTACGAGGTTGGTCTTCTATTTTGAAGATATCAATAAATAAACTTCATAAAATCCAATATAAAAAATATATTTTTTAGTAAATTGTGCCATTTTGCGGATATTGACGTCATCCAAAATAATATTCAATATTATTTTGAGTATAAGGATAAGATGACGAATTAACAGAAGTTACAGACAAAAAATTACTGCACACCTCATGGCACTACAGCTGGCAGGACGAGCATTGAATCCACTCCTATTCATTCACTCTTTCTTTTGTCATGTTTTTTCTGAGTTTCATTTTTCTCTTCGTTAAGTTTCCTTTGGTTTTTCAGCTCTCTCTGTTTCTTTTTCTCGTTTATTCTTTTTTCTTTTTCAATGGCAAGATTTCCTTTTTCTTGAAGTTCTTTTTTTACCGGTGTAGACGTTATAATTCATGCTGTAATCTTTTTCTTTTTAGTAATGGTCTCGTTTCTAAAAGCTCTTGGAAGTGGTTTTATTTCTTCCACTGAAACTGTCTTTTTTTTTCGTTGCACTAATCACTTATTGTAGATTTTTGACGGTTAACATTTTCCACTTTTTCTTTCAACATTTTCATTCCGCTTGGACCGGGTTGATCCATCAGATCAACCAGATCATCATCATTTCGTTGTTTGCTGAATTCCCATCATCAACAAATAAGGTTCTTTTTACTGCATCTGTTTTCGATCGGTTCATAAAATTACCAGGATTCGGTGTTGGATTTTCATCCAGATTGTTTTGCTTTGATACAAACTTAATCAACGGTCAGCCTCACTGTCAGTATCGTTTAACATATTAACTTCTGGATATTCTATTTGTCTATTATCACAGTTCAAATTGGGCATTTCTCTATCTGTGGTTAAAGCTGCTGCAAAATCCGAATCATCAAATATATTCCGATCAAATAGACAAATGTTGCGTATGAGCGGCGAAATAAATCAGCAATATCTTTGTCAGTAATTGTTTGCCCTGGATGGTTTATCTTGAAACAGATAAACCTGACTAAAATAGGTTTTTAAGGGACCAAAAAATGACACATCCATAGGTTGTAGTCGATGGGTTGTATGTGGGAGAAATCCGACCATTATAATGCCAGATTCAGATTCAGATTTTTTGGCAAATCCAGCAGTCCAATCTTTTCCGGCCATCCCTTTTTGAGTCTTAAAACGATGGGGAATTTCGTTTCTTGCCACATATTCATATGCTATTTCTCTTAGTTGAAGAAATGTAAGTCCAAAGGCAAGTTCATTTACAATTTTTATGTAATTATAAAGTTCTCTACAGTGTTCCTCCGAAAAGGTGTCCCTGAATCTTTCACCATGAACAGGTAAATCTTGTCCATTTCTTTTCTTATTGACGTATCTTCTTAACGTCGCTTCAGGAATTGAAAACCGTTCCGCTACACTGTTGACAGATTTGCCTTCTAAGACCTCATTGATGGCTGCCTCTATATTAACCCTGCCACTCCAACCTTATTTTCGCTATACAGATTAATTAATATTCAAATATTTACGTTGCCATACAATAAAACACTATTTTTAAAATCACAAAAATTATAACCTGAGCTGTTCAAACGGCAAATGTCAAATAACTGTCGATCTGCAGACTGCAGCGCCAAGGCTGATGTCCGTATAAGTTTTATGAAGAATTATTACATTTTTCCCCTATAATAGACATTCTATTTGAGTCAGTAAAAGTGATATCCTGAAAGCTTACCCATTTTAAGAAAAAATTATTTTTATGACAATATCTGACAAAGATGCTAAAGTTACACCTTGCTGTTTGTTACAAAGATATCTCTCTTTCCTTTGGTTGTTTTCTTGAATCGAATATGTAATGCATACTTTTGCTCACCGGGTATATAGACACGGGAGTTATTAAATAACTTTGGAAATTCTAAAAACATGCTGAAGTACCTGAGGTAAGTCCGTTTCTGAGAATGTCCATAACATAAATCTGTATTGATAAAAATGTGATAATTTGTTACAATTTTCGTTTTTGCTTCGAATTTCTAATATTTCTCTTCATAACATGCGGATTTTGTTAAATCATTTTCGCACATACAATTGTTGAGGGAGAACGTGAGAATTTGACTCAGGTGATATCATTCCTGTATCGATGATTAGTTTAGTTAATAATTTTCTAACGGCTGTTCGTTAACATAATGTTTGTTGTTTTACTGTGGTTTGACTGAGAGTATAATAAAGAGGTGATTTAGTATAAATGCAATGCTATATGCAATGCATATATTGAATATGCAATCAAATAGGAGCGATAATGTTATAACCACTTGACAACGATTTACCAGTCTCAATATCACACCCCCATATTGTGCTCCGAATTGGTGATTAGATGCATCCGTAATAAATCTCTATTGACTTCTAACTCGATGAGCTTATTGACGTAGGTGTTTTCTTTAAAGGTGGTGGACGAAAAACATGTTTATAACTACAGCACTCATCCTATTCGCCGCTCGTTGAGTCATGTAATATTCAGTTGTTGTCCAAGCGTTATCAGGAAATAGATCAGTGGAGAAACAAGGATATAAGGAGTGTAAAATATTTTTTAAAGTAATATTATTATTAAATTTTATATTTTCTATATGAATTATTTTACATATGTTATATGCGGATAATCGTCCAAATACCGACTGTAGTTAAAATCGACCCACAAACAGGCTCCCAAGAAACGAACTTAAAGTGTTTGCAAAACTTCGGGCTGGATTTTTCTATTCTACACAAATAAAACGGGCAAATGAATGCGAGCTTTTTCCTAAAGTAAAATATTTCAAGTGGGTAATCCCCCATCTTCGGGTCTTTTGCGAAACTTGCCTTTTTATCAAACTTTAAACATTTGCTAGAATTTTTATTGCTCAACCAGTGGCGCGGGATTTATTTATTTTTAGACATACATATTTATGTTATGTTTTATTTAAAAACACTACATTTGAGTATACAGAAAGAGACAAAAAGATATTTTAGAAAAAGGGGATATTTTTTTATTTCTACAACATGGTAGAAAAATGCCAAAAGCGTCAAGAAATATTTATTTGTTAGTTTTAGAAGACGTCAGCGTTATTAGTAGTAAAATGAAATTGAAGTAATTAATATATAGGTAAAAAAAATATTGATGAGTTAACTATCTAAAAGCTAATATTAATGAAAAATACAAAATCCAGTCTATTATTTTATAATATTGTTTTTTAACTAATTCTAGACTCAACATTCTGCTAGATTAATTAAATTAAGCGAATATGTAGTTTTTGTGATACCTCAAGTAAAAGTCAATATTTTTGCAAAAGCTTTCCCGGAATTTTGAAATGAACCTTTCCAATTATCTTTTTCTTGGATATCCTAAATTTTACTACCTATTCCAACATTTAAAATTATGTCTAATGAAGATTATTATACATATAAATTGATAATATCTTTTTTTTGTTGTCAATTTCTGTTCAAATAAAATCATAAATAAAAAAAATTCGCCACTTTTGCACACAATTTCCGTTTTCTATTTTGACAGATGCAATGGCGCAATACAAGTCATTTGACTAGTTTTTTGAAGGCGTGTACTACTTTCAATTTCATTCGATAAAAACAGTTTTCTTATGCCTGTCATTTACTTTTTTGAATTACTAATACATGTTTATTTATTTATTTATTTTCGAGTTTGAGAGTCTTCTGAATTGGACTTTGCACTACTTTAAAATTTAATCAAATATATATAATCGATTTAAATTTATTTAATAAATTCTTGAAATAATGATATAAAGATTATTTTGAAAAGTTTAAGATTATGATTTAAGAATTCCACAAGAAATCAATATTCAGAGTATTAATAAACGTAAGCAAAAGTAAAAGTAAGAAAACTCTAGATATTGTTTTTAGAACTTTCTTACAACTCCCTTTATCTTCCTTTATGTTTCGTCTTCAATATAATACCAACACAAATTGTTATTCCTAACGGAATTCTATACCAAATCGATTTTATTTATTTGTTAGCAAGTTGTACAAATAGGTACCACATACAGTGTTAATAATAAAGTTCTCAATACTAATACTGTACGACGACTTAATCGACGTTACAAAGAATGTGCAATGATTTAAATCCACGTCCTTAAGATAACAAAAACACTAAGAAAACAGTGCAAGTCACCAAAATGGCGAGAGGGTGAAACTAAAACTGAAATACAGAGAAATATCAAGCAATTGTGCGGGCACTTAATTTGGATCCTTTTTAGAGCTTGTCTTGATACCGTTAATCATGTAGTTTTTTAAGGTTTCATACGCTGACGGTTTAGGAGAAACTATTTAAAGTTTAAAAAATAAAGCTGATGGACGGCGTATCTTGAAAAATGTTTGGGGCGTAGCGCTGCACACACAATTTGATAAATTTACCTCCTAGCACGAGAATGCAATCTTATCCAAGCCTATTTTCTAACTTTATGAGACTTTCGAAAATTGAATCATACATTCTCTCTTTGGTTTATCGACCGTTTTTGTT